GCCGTCCACAGTGAAATAGCCTCGCGCAGAATTCAGCCGTACCTAAAAGGTTAATAATGCTTCCAGGAGTATGGACTGTCCCGGACCGGCGAGAAGAACTTCAACGAGACTTACTTTCTGGAAAGAGTGGACCGGTTGCAGTCCACGATCATTCGCATAATTTCGGAGGGGCCGAGGTCGCCGAAGGTCCCTATGTGGTGGACCTCGTTCAAGGAGGGCACCTTCAACGACTTCCTGACTCACTACAGAAAAGAGGTGCAACGTCTCGAAATAATCGTATCTCCTCTATCCCAAATTCTCCACTTTTGCGCACAATCTGAGCATCAATTAGGGAGAAATTACTGTACTAACACCATTTCTAGTAACATTATTAGTAAAATTTCTCGAACATAACTTTTGAACTTAGCCCGCTGGTCGACTTTCAGGCTCGTTCAGCGTCTCGATGACTTTGTCGCAGCTAAAAAAATTCAATTGAATAATTTCGTTTCCAATTATTACATCTAACAAAAATATAACGATTACAATTCTGCCAGGACACCAGAGCGCTCGCTCATTCCGCGGTGAAGAAGCTCGCGAAGATCGGCTTGGATATCCTGAATTCCGACGCGAGTTCCAAGAAGTAAGTCTCCGGAGGAGTCTTCCATCGTCGCGAGTCGAAACGGTAAAACGCCTCTTCTTTTCTGAACCCTTTAGGGACTGTTCCTGGTGCTTCTCGATGTCCCTGATCGACGTGCTGAATTCCCAGCTGGAGAACCACCGGCTCTACTCGGAACTATCCTGCCAGCTGAGCCGATTGAACGTATCGGAGATTCATGAGCTCGTGCTGCGCGATTTCCATTGGGACGAGACCACCCACAAGGTGAGCGACGCAGCGCCGACACCTGTCTCCCACCCCCCTTATCCCCCGTGCACTTCTGTGCCTGACGTCGTCTCTGACATCCTTCCCCCAGATCAAGCATTTCCGGACCCTGTACGCGGACAAGACGAAGGAGGAGTGGATGGCGGCGCTGGAGAAGATGCTGCACCACGTGGTGGACATCGCGATGGACTTCCAGAACGAGACGTACAGCGACAGGATCGGCGAGTGCTACCGCAAGTTCTTCGGGTCTCCGCCGTTGTCCAGACCGGGGCTGTAAGTCGTCGAATCGGAATCGCGAGCGCGCGGAGGCTCTAACAGCTCGTTGGAACTCTTTCGAAGGTACGTGTCGGTGATGCTGGGCATCGTGGAGAACCTGCGGCAGAACGTGTTCATCCTGGACACGGCCAGGTACCACAGGAACATCGACTCGCTGAGCAGAATGGCGGCCAAGTACGTCCCGATTTGGAAGAACCTGAGCGACGTGGCGCTGCCGAAGTTCGCGCACGAGGTCGAGGCGTTCCTGCCCGGCGCGACGATCAACGTGAACGCGATCATGAACGACAGGGAGGGCTCCCTGTGCGCCACGAAGCCGGAGTGCCGGAACGTGACGCTTCTGGCGAAGCGTTTGGGCTCGAAGAGCGCCGAGAAGCTGTTCCGGTACGATCCAAAGGCGGCCGACTATCCCAGCACGTGGCACATCGCCGATCGGCTGTCCTGGACCCTCGACGTGGACCGCATAGATCGCGAGTTGAAGGGCTGGAGGATGGACGCGTCCTTGGACCTGACTTGGCTCAGGGAGATCTTGAGACACTTGTACACGGTTCTAGCGGAGAGCGGCGACCTCCTCGACGTCGCCAGCAAGATAGACTTCGAGGACATCTCGAACGTCCTCGGAGTGCCGGACGTCGTCGACGGGGTGCTGAATATCTTGAGGGAGAAGACCGTGGACAAGCTGTTCAACGGGTGAGTTGGCCGCCCGGTTGGAACGATTTTCAGCTACTTCGACCCTTCCGTTATGCCAGCGCCGGCTGCAGCCGGCGTCCGCGCGACGCTTCAGCTTCAAGTCAGTCTCCTTCGAGCTCCAAGCGGCCGATATGCACACTTTACCGCGCGGTGGCCCGCTCATTGGCGTAGCGAACCACGTACTTACTCCGGCGAAGAGCGAATTGCCTAATGGGTTAAGGGCGGCGAAGGTATACGCTGGAATTTCGTCGACTTTGGGCGCGCGTAACTTCTGAACCAATGGGTTCCGCGCTTTGGAACTTGAATTGTCGTTGTTCTCTCGTCGAGATCTGTGGAAATATGTCTTTCAAAGTCGACGAATTTTGGTCCCCCAAAGAAAAGTTTAGCCGGCTATGGTGTCATAGCTGATCGTCCGGCGGATACCAGGATCTATGTACTTCAGGGATCTTCGAACCGCGATGTCGCTTTCGGAGCAAGTCGTGGCGATTTATTGAGAATAAATTATTTCAGTCTTCGCTGTAGACTTTTGGGTCAGAGTATCTATGGTAGACATTGAAGTAGCTAAATCGTTGATTGATTTCACGGCGCGGCTCTTTTCGTTATCAGAGCAATGAGACACGAGCTTCTATTTCACAGAGTGAAAGAGGTAGTGGAGGACGTGAAGCCGTTCGTCAAGGAGCCGGAGATCCTCGACGACATCTACGAGATGGTCTCCGCCCTGGAGTCGATGGACATCTTCAAGAACCTCGGCCTTCTGAACATGAAATGTAGGCGATCAAGCTTCTTCTTCCAATGACTTCGGGACTCGCTCCGTGACGACGATGATTTTTCTGTTCAAGACGTGGTCAGGGACATGTTCGACGATTGGGACCTGGTGAACTCGTATCTGACCGATAAGATCCATATATCGAACAACGTTCTGGCGATGCTGAGCGAGGCGAAGATCGACATGATCTCCGTGTTCATGAAGGAACGGAAGGCTCTCAGCATGAAGGAGATCATCTGCTCGCCGAAGAAGCTCGGCGAGATGCTGAGCTTCAACGAGAGGGTCACCGCGACGGAGGTCAGTGCTGCCATTTGCCAGCTGGACGACGCCCAGACGCAGAACGTCACGATTGCCATGATCAAGAACATGAACTTCGATTATATTTTCAAAACGGTGTGTACTGCTAATATTAATCATTCATTATATGATAAGTATGTGATAATTATGTGATAAGTATGTGATAATTATGTGATAATTATAGGATAATTATATGATAAGTTTAGGATAATTTTAGGATAATTATAGGATAATTATAGGATAATTTTATGATAATTATAGGATAATTATAGGATAATTATAGGATAATTTTATGATATTTTTATGATAATTATAGGATAATTATAGGATAATTTTATGATAATTTTATGATAATCATAATCAGTTGATGAGCGCCAACGTGAAGAACATCCTGTCGAATGCGAACCTGACGGAGGCCGAAGGGAAAATGGTGTTGGCGAACCTTGGCGTAGCAGCGGAACTGATGCCCTTCTTCAAGGAGAAGTTAGCCTCCGGCGTGCCGACGGCGGAGCCCTTGAAGTCGAGCCTGCAGACAGAAGAAGAGGATCAGCCGATGTCCAGTGAGCCAGCAGTTTGAATAACGGGAGAACGCGAGAGCTTCGATTAAAAATATTAGATCGAGTCGTAAATAACTTCCGATGCTGCGAAATATAATTAAATTTAATTATAATAAATAAATAGAATAACATCGTCGCTAAGTAGACGAGGGTTCAAGATAAGTCAAATAAAATAGATGAAATAAAAGGAAATAAATTAAAAAAAAAAAAGAAATACGGAATAAATATCCGATAAGAAAACGAAAGATATCCGTGACTCGACCTAAAATACAATTTCAACCACCAGCTTCCAAGTTCCTCGAGGACTCCAGCAAGATGCTGTGCGGCCAGGCGATGGTCTCCGACAACGGTGACCTGTACAAGATCATCTCGAGGATCGAAGACAACAGCAAGCAGTACGACCAGGCGGAACTCGATTCGTTGCCCAGTACGTAGACCCAGCGAGTTTATCGGTTCGATTCGGAGTTTCGTCGTAAAGAATTTTAACGGTCTCTCTCTCTCTCTCTCTCTCTCTCTCTCTCTCTCTCTCT